AAATTTCTGAGCCCATCGTTTCCTCACCATCTCCCTTCTCTGCAAATTCCCGTCACGATCCTCGCATCTCCACCTATCATCGGCAGCCATCACCATCGCGCAAGAAGAAGGAAGCGGCAAATCATCCCCCATCACCACCTCGCTCCATTAGCGACCGTCATCACCATCAGTCCGCCGTGAACAGCACCAGCAGGCCTTCTCCTTCCTTCCGTCGGATTCCGTTGAGTCCCGTCGGAGTGCCGAACGTGGCCGCTGAGTCCCGTCGAGTTCCTTCGGAGTGCTAAACGTAGTCGTTCGTTGTCGAAATCGCTGACCTGTTGTTTGACCTGTTTCCCGTTCGATAACTCGTAGTTTTCCCCAAGTCGGGTAACTTATTCGAATCCTATCATTATTACGGTCATTTTCATATATGGCATGTTATATATATGTCGTGTTCGATCTATCGAAAGTTGATTTGAAGTCGGATTTCTTTTGGTTCATTTAATTGTTCATATGTATATTTCGTATATTCGTGAATTTTCGGAGATGATCGGAACTCTCGAATCCATAAACGTGCATACCGTCGTGTTACTGTGTTATATGCGTATAAGTTCGGAGTCTCGTTTTTGTTGTTTTTGAGCCGTATAATTGCCGTTTTGTGTCCCGAGTAAACCTGCTTTCCCAACATTTTCAAACTCTGAAATTTTGTTTTCTTTTGAAAATTTCTTCCTAATATTTCGAAACTCTAAAAAAAAATGTTTATTTTGAATCATGTTTTAAATTTCGAACCCTCTGTATGTTTGCAGCTTCTGTTCAATTCGCACCTTAACTAATGTTTAATTTCATAGAAATTTGCATCTCCGTGTGTGGTGCAGTGGTGTGCAGCGCTGTTTCGCGTGTGCGAGGTCGTGAGATCGAACCCCAGCTCTTGCGTCCTTTTCAATTTTTTTATTATTATTGAACCCAGCCAGCGCGCGGGCTTTATGGCCCGATTTCGGCCCGCGCAGCCCATTTCCCACTCAGCAGCTGGTGGCC